ATATATACCATAATATGTTTCATGCATATAATTACTGTTTTAATAAACTATTAATCAATCTCTAATTGCAACGAAAGTATACATAAGTTTCTTGTCAACAAAAATCACATACACGAGTTATCTCCCGTGAACCTCCAATTTGGACAAAAACCAGTCACGCTTCTTAAACTCATACTAAATTGTTATTTTGTGTTTCCAGTCAATATTTTTGAAGTTATTGGTTGTTATTTTGGAGTTATTGGGTAACTCGACGCAAATTGTTTTTTAGTGTTATTTTGGAGTTCGGCCTATTGGGTAACACGACACGCCCTACGTTATCATAACCATGATGCATATATTTGAAACGAATTCCGGTAGTCTTTCAAATAAATACACACACAGGGCCTTTATTTGGCCTGTGAAGATATCAAAATAGTAATTCGTTACATTATAATGTATTATACATTTAACATAAATTAGTTTTGTGGGAGGAATCAGGGGTTTTCCAAGTGAATTCCGGTGATTATAAGTGAAGTCCGGTGATTGTAAATGAATTCCGGTGATTAGTCGGGCCCATCAAAACTACCGTTAAATGTGCTAATGACCCAAATTCTGACCAAATGGTGACTATCATCGTGTCGTATTCGTAGCCACAAGTAATAATTAACCTGTTCTACGATTCATTGTTTTATCAGTAAGATTTTTCAAACATGGACCGACTGAAGCCGGCAATAATGAGCCGATTAATATCGAATGATTGAAATACATTGCAATGTTGTCAATGACTTTCGGTGTTGAACACGAATCAAATTCTAGTTCACCAGGGGAGGTAATTAATATCATGTGATACAAAAATGGAGGTTCTTTCGATATCAATAAAAAAGACCCGTAAATGAGCATTTACATCTGGATCAGTTTAATACATTTGAATGGATATACACGTATGACGCATGTAGGTACATGCGTCATATTCTTTTTATGACTTGCTTATCAATATTCGGGTGGGCGTTACATATTTTTTATTTTTCATCAAGACTAATAAATAGGCCGCACGCGCAAAAAATTTTGCGTGCGAGCGGTGCCCGAGAAACAACTTATTTTATTTGTGTTGCCTTATAATTATTATTATTAATTGCGCGATGATCGATATTTTAAAACTGTATCGATAACTGATTTTCAAAACGCTTACCGATGATTATCGGCAATATCGGTATTTTCTGCCAGCCCTAGAAATAATGCGTACTGATAAACTAAATTGCTTGAATTTCGTAGTTTTATGGTATTTTGGATAACAGAAACTATTGAGAATTGTCACAAACATGTGATATTTCTGACTCAAAGGATTAATCTAGACCAAATTATTGTCGAATTTTAAAAGTATTTAACAACTTTTAAACTAATACACGAAATAACCAATGTTCCGATGCCTAGATTTGAAATGTCAGTCCCGTGGACCCTTTCAATAATACTTTAAAAATGCCAAAGTGACACACTCCTTAATGGATAATGCCTATCTATCTTATTCTTATTAAATTAAAATAATTTTTTCCCAATATAAAATACCCTTGGCTCCTATATAAATCATCATTACCCCAAAACCATAAATACTTTGCATATGGCGTATCTAGTATTACAGGACTGACCGGTTTCGATTCCCCGGTTGTACATGACAGGAAGTAGGATCGCTGGTCCAATCTCGTGGGTTTTTTCTGGGTCCTCCGGGTTTCCTCCCATTACTATAAAGACCCCTACGCGCAAGCGAATAATTCAAATAAAATTGAACCATGTGTTAGTACCGAAATGACCTAGTTTGTGTCTAGTGGATCTCTCTCTCTCTCTCTCCCTCCCTCTTTCTCTCTCTCAACAATTGTAGGCCTACAGAGATATATTTTTATAGACATTAGATATGAAGTGAGGTTTAGATTTTTTATAGTTTTTTTTTGGTCTATTAATTATTTGAAAATAGTATAATTTATACTTAAATCATATGGTAATATATAAAATAGTAACAAAGAGTTTTGTTTACTGGGGTTTTGAGGGTATTTTTGTTCTCGGGGTTTTAATTTGGGGCGTCATCTAATTGCTTATATTGCCTTACAATAAAATAAACGGGTGGGCCGCAGCTATATTTCCCTTGCAATGAAAAGAAATTGAATGAAAATTATTTTTGGGAATGATAGTATGTTTAAATTATATAACCCTGGCCATTGGCAATATTATCATTATTCCAAATATATCTGTATGTCGCAATAGATCTCACAATGTAGCTCTAATCAGTGTTTGTTAAGGTCATGATTTTAAATTAGGAGAGGGCGACGGCTGTCCGGAGTTAAAATTGATTTTAGTTAAAATTGTCCATAAAATAGTTTTGTGAAACGCCACTATTTTAAGTAAAAGCGATAATTTCATATTTTCTAAAAAAGTCAAAAAATAATTATTTCTGTCTTTTGCTCAATAGGTTGTCAACTCACTATAATATGATCATAGGTATTATTCTCCCTATTAAAAATCCTTTGACCCCGCCAAATAATAACACAATTACCTCCCTTATTTTTCTACCCCCCCCCCCCCACCGGAATAGCTATCTTCAAACGTTTGAATTTGAAGTTGAAAATGATATTTTTGCCAATTTCTCAACTGGCAATAGTGAATTATAGGATTAATAGGAGTATTCTTTAACAAGGTAGGACTGTTTATAGATACCATCTATTTCAAGGCTTTATTTTAATAAATTTTAAAAATATAACTTAAAAATATGAAATTGCAACTTTAAGATACAGTTTTAACTCACAATATTATTTTAGTGGATTTTATCTAAAATGCTTAAAATCGTTTTGTGAAACGCATCTATCTTAGTAAGGATGGAATTTTAGTTTAAGACGATTTTAAGGAGATTTAAGCTTTTGTGAAACAGGGCCCAGGCTGTTATATAAAATTTAATGGAAATCAATTCTGTACAGCACATCCTTGAGTGATAGCAATACAATGGGCTTAGGCAAATGGACATACCATCAACGTTAGGTTGCGATAATGAGAAGCAGTGAATAAAATTTGTTTAAAAGTATGTGATACTGTTTTGTATTAAGATAGGTTGTCAGGCAACAAAACATATGCCCACAGCAGCTAAATCGTCCGAGCAGTCGACAAGGGTTGTCACATAATTATTCTTTTGTAGGTGATTAGGGGAATTTAATAGACAATATCATACAGATGACATTATAATTTTCGTCATTTGAGGGTTCACAAGGTTTTAAAAACTAAAACAAGGGCCGTAACTCTGGAAGTAATCTACAGAAATTGTTGAAATTCGACATATAAATTTCATACATATCGGACGATAACTTTTGTTGTTTGAACGTTCACAAGGTTCAACAAAGTAAAACAAGGGCCATAACTCTGAAAGTAATTGACGGAAATTGCTGACATTCAATAGGCTTCTTCATTTTACTAATTCAAATGATGCATATGAATTTCATACAGATTAGGGGATAACTTTTGTTGTTCAGCTTTCTCAAGATTCAACAAAGTTAAACAAGGGCCATAACTCTAGATGTAATTAACAGAAATTTGCTGAAACTCAATAGGTTTGTTCCTTTTACTAATTTAAACAATACATATAAATTTCATACAGATCGGATAATAACTTTTGTCGTTAGAGCATTCACAAGGTACAACAAAGTGAAACAAGGGCCATAACTCACAGCGTAATTAACGGAAATTGCTGAAATTCGATAGGCTTCTTCATTGCACTAATTTAAATGCCAGATATCAATTAGAAACAGATCGGATGATAAATGTTGTCATTAGAGCGTTCACAAGATTCAACAAAGTAAAACAAGGGCCATAACTCTAGATGTAATTAAAGGAAATTGCTGAAATTCAATAGGCTTCTTTGTTTTACTAATTTAAATGATGCATATAAATTTCATACAGATCGGATGATAACTTTTGTTGTTAGAGCGTTCACAAGGTGCAACAAAGTGAAACAAGGGCCATAACTCCAGAAGAAATTAACGGAAGTTGTTGAAATTAAATAGGCTTCTTCATCTCACTAATGCAAACAACATATATCAATTTCAAAACAATCAGATGATAAATGTAGCCTGTAGAGTGTTCACAAGAAATTGTGGACGATGGACGGACAGACGGACGGGGGCAACGGCAATATATGACCACATTTCCATGTGGGCGTATAAAAATGCCCTATTATAATGTGTGGAAGTTTACCGTTTAGACTTGTGAATAAAATTTTTTGAAAAATTGTAGCTAAGCGGAAGTAAACAAAGAAGTGCCACACAAAAAGTCTCGTAAAAATTGACTTGTAAGATTGACACACAAGTCAATTAAACATGCATTATGCAAGAGCTAAATCTGCCTATTTCAGGTCTTTCTTTAGGCCTGAAATGTTATCTAAATTATTGATTAGACATTAATTAACCTATCCAGGCCATAATCAACTCTAGATGGCAGCGCTAGCCTGCGTTCGTTAGTGGATTGTAAGCCGATTTACTGCATAACTTTCCTTCTCTATTAAACGATTAAATGGATAATCGAGACTATGCTGTTTATCGTACTGACTTTAGTAATGATGACCGAGGCTTATGGGAATTTCAGTCGCTTAGTTCTCGGTTCATAGTGGATCAATTTGAATGAAATTTTCACCAAATTGCCTTTACATTATCTAGTTTTTAACTATTTTAGTGAGAACTGCCAACTCGTTACTGAATCTCCCATAATGTATCTTTAATGTACTAAAAATAGACATTACATCAAGTCAATCAAAAGAAGTGCTGATCAAGACGATTTCAAATTTAAAATTAGCAGATTTACTAAATTACACTCTCTAAACTTCATTCGCCAAGATTTTCGCCAATATCATCAATTGATAGCCAATAAAAATAATTATCGCCATTGCTGAATGTATATGTTAGGCAGAAATAAAGGACATCTATAAATTATTTTTATGACATCATTCGTGCTTCTTCAACAGTGTTATAGTATTTAAATAAGTGAAATAATACCTGTAATACACCAGTATTTAACATAGGTGATATAATAGACCAAAATATATCAGCTCTACTAATATACACAACATTAACTTCACCAGGTTTCAAATAATTAGCAATGATATCCGATAGATCAATAAGCTTGGAAGCAGGGGAAGTTCTGGAAAGAAATGATGACATTGTTAACCTTTTTCTGTTAAACAAAACATAAACCATTCAATGAAATGAAATGAGAAAATTTAATTTAATTCCTAAAAAGTTTTGCAACTAATACTATATTTTACACATAAACTTTAATATAACCTAATGATTTCACACTATTAACATAAATAATAGTTTTCTACTCACTGCCTGATGACTATAAACTTTGGTATACTGGAAGAGTGATCCTTTTTTGGCACAAAGGAGATGATTTCACACTTCCCAAACTCAGGATTTGGTTGTAAGTTGAGATATGCTGATCTGTGATAATAATAGATGTTTAGATTAAAGTAGTGCAATTTGAATGTGTTTTGTGCAACTGAGAGTCTTTGTGTAACATACATTCCATTACCACTGATTTATGATACAGAACAAACTGTCATCTTCTTACCGCCATTGAGGTCTGATTTTTACTGCACTACATTAAAGTTACAATTTCATATTTTCTAAGAAAGTCAAAACATAATTATTTCTATGTCTTTTGCTCTATAGGTTGTCAACTCACTATTACCCGATCATAGGTTATCTTTCTCACTAAAAAATCTTCACACCGGAAATAATAACACAATTACCTCCCAATTACCTCATTTGTTTTCCTATTCCCCACCATGGAATAGCTATCTTCAAACGTTTGAATTTGAAGTGGAAAATGATATTTTTGCCAATTTCTCAACTGGCAATAGTGAATTATAGGATTAATAGGAGTATTCTTTAACAAGGTAGGACTGTTTATAGATACCATCTATTTTAGGGCTTTATTTTAATACATTTTAAAAATATAACTTAAAAATATGAAATTGTAACTTTAATTTTACTTTGCACTATCTTACCCATGTCCAATTACAATTTATGCCATTTGTCCAGACTAATATTTCATTTTAATTGAAGCAAGACAGTATTGGCTGGAATTCCACGAACAAAACTAACAATTGATATTTATTTTCTGCCAACTGGAATAATTTATCTACCAAAATGTGTGATAACATGTAACAATATTAATTCTCTGGTGGGCTTATTACAAAACAATTACCGGTATATACAATATACATGTACAACAACTTACAAAATACTTAGCCCAGTTTTGAGATGATTTACTAAGATCAGATTTTATTTTTGGTGATTTAGTCATTTCGCACACAGTATTGTACAATATATTTTCAGTATAAATTTATGTTTTGCATGTACAATATAGGCCTATTGTTATTTTCAGGTACCGTAACAGTATCGGAATCTGAATTCATTTGTAAGAGATGCTTACAATTAGACTTGTGGGTTGCTTTAGAGCATTTTGACGGGTGTATTGAAACAAATGGTGGACTGTTTCCTCACCGAGTCACACGAGAATTGTCGCTATTTGACTTGTTCTTATGTTTCCGATAAGGTTGCAACGATATCAAATTATTTTATCATGATTAATCACGATAACAGTTTTTTGAATTATCGCGATAAATAGCAGTATTGCGATTATGTATTTTATCATGATAATTCTCTTTTATCGCGATAATTCTCTTTTATCGCGATAATTTAATTTGTAACAAGGTATATAATAATCGTGATAATGGAATGTTCCTGACAATACACAATAATAAAAGATAGGTTGCCAGGCAACGAAACAGACGCCCACAGCAGCTAAATGGTCTGAGCGGTCGACAAGGGTTGTCGCATATTTATTCCTTTGTAGGTAATTGGGGGCCTTTACCAGACAGTTCCACACAGATCTCGAAGTAATCTACAGAAATTGTTGAAATTTGACAGAATTTTTTGTTTTACTAATTTAAATAATGCATCTAAATTTCGTACAGATCAGATGATCACTTTTGTCATTCAAATGTTCACAAGGTTCACAACCGCCATAATTATTGAGGAAAATTGCTGAAATTCAATAGACCTGTTTCAGAAATTTAAATGATGCATATAAATTTCATACATATCGGATGATAACTTTCATCAATCATGCATTATTAACAAGGTTGAACAAAGTGAAACAAGGGCCATAACTCTAGAAGTAATAAACGGAAATTGCTGAAATTCAATAGGATTCTTCTCATTACTAATTTAAATGACGCATGCAAATTTCATACAGATCGGGAGATAACTTTTGAGCATTCACAAGGTTCAATAAAGTGAAACAAGGCCCATAACTCTAGACGTAATAAACAGAAATTGCTGAAATTCAATAGGCTTCTTGGTTTCATTAATTCAAATAATGCATATAAATTTCAGAAAGATCGGATGATAAGTTTTGGCATTCACAAGGTTCAATAAAGTGACACAAGGGCCATAACTCTAGACGTAATGAACAGAAATTATTGAAATTAAATAGCCTTCTTCGTTTCACTAATTCAAATCATGCATATAAATTTCACAAAGATTGGGTGATAACTCTGGCAGTAATTATCGAAAATTGCTGAAAATGAATAGACTACTTCGTCTCATGACCTTAAACACTGTGTATAAATTTAAAGTCAATCGGATATTAACTTTAGCCTTTAGAGCGTCCACAAGATTTTTTGAAGTGATCAAGGGCCATAACTCTGGCAGTAATTATCGGAAATCGCTGAAAATCAATAGGCTTCTTCGTCTCATGACCTTAAATACTGTGTATAATTTTAAAGTCAATCGGATATTAACTTTAGCCTCTAGAGCGTCCACAAGATTTTTTGAAGTGATCTGGCAGTAATTATCGGCAATCGCTCAAAATCAATAGGCTTCTTCATCTCATGACCTTAAACACTGTGTATAAATTTAAAGTCAATCGGATATTAACTTTAGCCTCTAGAGCGTCCACAAGATTTTTCAAAGTTATCTGGCAGTAATTATCGGCAATCGCTCAAAATCAATAGGCTTCTTCGTCTCATGACCTCAAACATCGTGTATATATCTAAAGTCAATCGGATATTAACTTTAGCCTCTAGAGCGTCCACAAGCGTATAAAGTGGGCGTATAAAAACCATCAATAATTGGTATTGAAGGATGATTTAATGTCTACAAGCAATTGTGGACACTGGACGGACGGGGGCGACGACAATATACGACCATATTTCAATGTGGGCGTATAAAAACTTATAATAAAAGTTTGGCACACGATTCAAAACACGAACTAATAGTAATAAAATCAACAACTGGAATTGTAACTGAGGTATGATATCTTGGCAAGGTGTCAATAAGTGTCCAGTTTCAAATTTCTGTTCAAAAACGGCATTTTGTTGACACTTTCCGGGTGTAAACGATTTCTTGATTTTGTGGCAAGTAATCTGACACCGCTGAACAGCCTCTCCGAGGAACAGCTTGTGGCTGGTACACAAATAACTCAGATAATATTGGAAAAGTTGGTTGATTAACCTTCCACCAATATAATGGATCCGCTTCTAAAGAGATATTTTCTACTGAACAGTCAGTGTCAACCTCCCTTTGGATTCTCTGTCTGAAAGTTAACACATATGTTTTATGTTCCTTGCGCTTTTCTGTCATTACAATATTTAATAATGATGAAAGATTGTCACTGAAGCGTTTCTTAGGAGAGGGTTCATCTTTGTCATCAAAGGATTGGGTATTGTCAGATGGGCCTTCTATTCCCTCAGAACTAACCGTCTCATTATTGTCCACTGTTTTCACACTGTCAACATTCTCTGTTACAGGAGTATTTTCAAGAGATTTCTCAAATATGTATTTCTTTACTTCGTTAAACAGTTCATCACTTAAAAAACAATAATTAAATCATGGATCTAAAAATGAACACACTGATGTGAATACACGAATTGAATCTTTGTCATATCTGTTTTGAAGTGATTTAGAAATGCAATCTAATTGCTCTACTCACAGTATATAATTTCAGTGCTTCATTTACCGCTAAGTCTAAATTATGACCAAAACAGGACAATTATGGAATTCCCAAGGCAGCAAACATTGTTGTATTAGGCCGCGGTTAATAAATGACCACTCATGAACTGAGTTTGTGAAATATACATGCTGTACATGTGGTAATTATTAATTATTGAGATGAAATTTAATTTAGTTTCTCATGAACTGAGTTTGTGAAATATACATGCTGTACATGCGGTAATTATTAATTATTGAGATGAAATTTAATTTGTTTAGTTTAATGCTGTTTTTATTTCAGCAATAACTAATGTCACTTACTTGGTAGTTGAAAACCCAACGGTAACCAGTGTCCACGATTTATTCACATTTGTAAAAATATTTACAGATTAAAATATATAACTGGACATCGGAGGACTTGATCATAATAAATAAGTTTAAATTATTAGTGATATGCTTCTAAGTTAATGGTTTGTTAATTCATTCATTCTTGGCATTTCATTTCGTTATCCTTCCCTACTTTGACAGGTTACGAAATGACCTGTTCCAAACTGGTTGACGATTTGTTCTGACATAAATAATTAAAAGTATACCCTTGGATTTTTAAATACACAATAATTTAGATTATTTAACATTTCAGTCCAAAGAATTTACTACACACGTGGTCATTTCTCTAGCCGTGAAGAAAGATATGAATGCCATGGCAATAGCCCGTATGTTAATTGTCTTCAACTTTGAACCCATCGGCACATGGCATCATAATAATATAAATACTTTTATAATTTTGTCTATCTTAATCAAACTGTTTACATTTATTTGTATCTTTGTGTCCTTTTGAGACTGTTTATATAGTGTTGTTAATAAAATACAGTGAAGCAGTGTCAACCAGTTGGTTTCTCATGATCGAGGCTACATGTATCTCATGGCGGCAATTCTGGGACTGTTCTAGTCACGTAAATTAATTAATTTAGCAGGAATTAAAAGACATTTATATCTTTCTGTGAATTTTATTACAAATGACAAGTGCCTTATAGAGTATATATGTGGTATTTGGTGAATGTTGTGGCTACATTGTACCATTCCTTGGTATGGATGACAGATATGACACAGCTTAATCACTTCCCGTTAGTGTTTTACGGATGGACTCCATGTATTTTTTCACATTCTAGCCTACTTTGCTTATCCCCTATGGTGTCACGTTCATCGATAAATAGTGGATTTCAATGCGTCAATTCATTGTTCATATTTAAAGGTAAACAAATATAGTTTTACAGGACAAATTTTTGACCTCACTAAATTTAACCAAATAATTATGGAAGTGCGTAATTATTACGGATGAAAACGGACATGCAGGCGGGTCATGAGAAACAAACAATTAATTAACCTCGGCCTTATCTGATGCATTATCTGTAGTCCCACAAATAACTGATGTGAGGTTTAGA